TAGAGATATTTTATTAAATAAATAGATATGATTACAATTACAATAAGAGTATATCAAGCTATATGTACACTTTTGGTACCTAATTTAAGTAGTCTACTCAAAGGTTCTATACTATCTGCTATACTTGCACTCTAACTATAGAAATACTCATTTAAACACTCTGGCTATAACTGTATATTTTATATTATCTAACCCTAAATATTAGCTTACTATATATTTGTAAATTTGCTATCTACCCAATATAGATTTAGTCCCTACCTTAGAACTATTTATCCTTGAGGCAAACTTAACAAAGTGGTCTATGTTTTATATATGTTTTTACCTACATTTTTAGTAATTTCTTTCTGACTAGTACATGTTGTGCTACTATATTATATGCATATCTTATGCTATCTTTTTGGGATGCTGCTATTCCACAGTTACTCAAGCCACAATCTTTCTAATTAGTTACCTATTATATATTTTTTGCCCTTATTAGATTTACAACAACTCCAGTACCTATATTCTAACTTTCTTTATTCCTAAATTTCTTACTAGTCTCTCCTTTATTTCTAAATGGTAGCCTAAAATTGGTTTGCTCAGGCTTTAAGTGCCTCATGGTATCTTTCTCCTTGGTACATGCTTCCAGTGCACATGTCTTTTTTCTCCAGTTTCATATCTAGTGATTTAGCTAGTGTGTTCTCTTATTTAAGAACCTAGTCTCTTGGTTTTCTAATCTTGGTCTCTGGTTCCAATTTTGGTCTTCCTGAAGCACTATCAAAGATCACTGCTACCTCCTAACTTAAAACTTGCCAAATGAGTTTTTGGTTATTCTAGTTTCTTAACTTTTATTGCATCAGAGCTCCTATTTTAAATAGTGTAATCAAGATTACAGATTAAAATTTAACCAATCGATAATAGCTATCAACTATATTACAGGGCTAATTTTCAAAAACATTATTCATGAAATGCGAACAAGAGACTTGCTGTCTAGGGTGTAACAACTCCATACTTTACTAAGTTGCTACATCTATTAAAAAAAATTATATATTATATTGGCTTTATTTAAATAAATATTTAACACTTTTGGGTCTTCTTAATCTCTGCAATAAACTTTTGACTTTTGATATCTGTAAATATAAATAAGCAATTAATAAACTTTATAAATTGTACAAAAAGTATAAACTAACCAAAAAAAATAAGCCATTTTTACTACATAATACTTTTTTATTAATATATATACTTTTTTATAATCTTAATTAAAGCTATCAGACTAACTTAAATTAATAAAAAATTAACAAGTATTTAACTGAGATTGAAACTAAAGCAAAACTACTTCTTTGGTTAAAAGCAAATACTACTTTGTTCCTAACTCTCTTCTACTTTGCAAAAGACTTTCTTACTATGCAAGCAACTAGTAATAAGAATTAACTAAGTTTTAGTTAACTAAATTAACTAAAATTAACTAATTAACTAAATTTTATTAGTTGACTAAAAATTAACTAAATATAGATAAAAATAAACAAATAGACTATTATATGTATGAGAATATTTCAAAGCCTCATAATTTAGTTTATATTAGCAGCAAGCTGCAATAATGCAGACCAGAATTTTATAATACAAGCCAAAATTCTATGTGCATAATATTTGAAAAGTTTTAATTTTTCAACACCAATATAGACTAATAATTAATCAAATATTTTGATGACTAAATAATAAACTCTAGTTTATTATATTTACTTTATATATTATACAACTAGTCAACTAGTTATAAAAATTGTTAACTAATAGGGTTGGAATCCCATAGTCTAGTAGTCTAGACATCTAACCCTCCACGAGCAGGGTTTTGGTTCAAGTCCTACTAGAAATAGTTTTTAGGAATATTTGGAAATACTCATTGTGAAAAGTCTAAGTGAAGTGCTAGTTTAGAATAGAAATTTCTAGAAAGAGATCTATTGTAAAGAAATTAGCACTACATGTAGTAGCAGCATCACAGAAGGTCTTAATATAGAAATACTGCATATATAAATTCTTAGAGTAATATACAAGGTAGTACCAACAACCTTAAGACTGCCTTGGGATCTTGGTTGGAGAGTAACACAACTATATTTGGACTTGAAGTCATGAGAAAAGTAGTAAACACAACGTGATCTGTGGTAAAGAATTGGTCTTACTAAATTAGAAACACCTCTGGTATATACTACTTGCCTAATTTAAAAAAGAATAAATTTTTATAGAGAGTTAGCTAAAACTTAAAGTATATATAAAAACTCAAAATAACTAGAAGCACCAGGCTGTATTGTAGCAATACATGAACAAGAGGAGAACACCAACAAATTTGAACACCAAGCAACTAATTTAAAAGTATTACAGTATGCAAATCTCAATTAGATCTTTACCTTTAATGTCTCATAACCTAAAATATTGGGGCAATAAAAATACCAAATATATCTGAGGAATCTTAAAACAATTTGGAAGAACTATTTCACAAAAGCTATCACTAGAAGTGAAAACACAGCTTCTACAATCATAACAAATCTCAACTAACACATAAAAGTATTTGTTATTAAGAATTAACAATGCATATAATACACATATGGCATTAGAAATTGGGGCTATGCTAGTTACAAGAAATTAGATACAGCATCACTATGACCTTGATTTAACCAAGTTTGAAAGTAACTATAAGGTTATAAAGCCCTCCTCTTGAGGGAGTACCAACTTTGGAAGTTGTATGTGGTAAGTATAAAAAAGCAGAGAATATAGAATGTAGTAATGAGTATAAATTAAGATATAGTAGTCAAATCCAAGTTGTACATGATGTGGGACATGGAATACTCTAGTAGGTTTAGGTTGCAGATAGTAGTTAAGACTTGTCTAAGTTATTTATATACTTGTAAAAATAGAAATGCATGTATCACATAATATATAGGTATATATTATAATAATAAAGTCATGGGGCAAGACCTCACTTTAATACCAAAAAAAAAAAATTGCTGACTAATTAGTTAACTAAAAAATTTTAGTGGATTCAGATAACTACAAGCAACTAATGTGCTAAGTAAATAAGCTTTCTTAGTTGCCAAGCATACAAGTAGTCTCACCCAAAATCGCATAAGCCCTAAAGTAGCTTGAGTATTCTTGTGTTTGAAAAGCTGATATAGAGAACTAGGTGATCTATTAAATAAAGAAGCAGATAATATTAGTGCTTAAATAAATAAAAAATAAATACAGTCAGACCTTGTTATAATCACTCTTAATATAATCATAACCTTGTTATAATCGAACGACCTAGCTATTATAAAACTTATAAATTTTAATTTTTATATAGTCACAACTTTTAATAATCACCAAAATTTTGTTTCCCAACCCAGTGACTACGTATATCGAGGTCTGACTGTAGTTTTTTTTTTCTTTTCATTTTTATTTTAGGAAAGTTTTAACTGTCACCTCCGGTGAAATTCACGAATTAGCCAGGGCGACCCCAAAAGTGCGGGTCACTTGATAAGCGCCACAACCACTGCATAATTTCCTAGAAAATGATTGAATCGTCCAGCTCCTACATGCAGCTTTTATTATTGTGAAAATTTCTTAAAACAAATTCAATATACTACTGGTTATTAATATGTGGCTTGACCCGCACATTTGGGGGTCGCCCTGGCTAATTCGAAATTCACCGGGGGTGCTGTATCTCAAAACGTACTAAATAAACTGGATCGGGTACTCTAAGTAAAAATGTTCAGAACCCCTGAAAACCTCACGAGAACTGAAATCGGGACCTTATATTAGCTCTATATTATTTTATTTAAAAAAATATAATTCTTAATACCCGCACCCGAATCCTAAAAATTCTTAGGCCGGTGAATTTCACCGGAGGTTAATTTTAAATAAATTCTTTATTTTATGTAAAAAAATTTTTTTTATATAATTTTTTTTTTTTTTTTATATAAAATTTGTTTTATATAAATCTTTTTTTTTTTATATAAATTTATTTTTTTTATATAAATTTGTTTTTATATAAAAATTTTTGTATAACTTTTTATTCTCGAATAAAAGAAATATTGAATATTGGTAAAGCTTTTTATGTCTAATGATATAAATTATCAATCTGATTGGATGAACTTATGTGGAGGATTGTAATTCAGGACCCAGTCTGGGATCGATCAACTATCATTTTTTGGATCGAGTCCAGGACCGTCGTTTCAGGTCCTAGGACCGGACCGGACCGGATTCGCAATTTAACATCCCTAGTCGTTACCAAAAGAGTGTTTCTATCAGATTTTTATTGTAAAAGTATTAACTTCACCGTAATACCCGCACTTAATAAAAAAATTTTTTGAAGGGACATTCATTACCGTGTGATATTACCATATATGTACGTACATACGTAATTATTTACAGTGATAATTGTTAACCCTTTAAGTCTCTTTGGCTTTATTGTTATCCTTTCCTATTATGTTTTTGACTACAAACAAAATATAGGTGTTCTCTCACTATGCATGCGTAAAGCAGCATCAGATTTCGTATGTCGTCATCATGTGCCACATTACTATGTCTCTATGTTAATGTTTGCTGCTGTAATACCTATTCAGCTTTCATTGAAGGAGTTTTAGTCCGAATTTCACCCAAAAATGTATGTAATTAACAGATTTCTTGCATCTTTATATAGTAAACTTTCCTGGACACACTGGACAGTGGGCACTGTCTTAGTCTAACATAAATAAACTTTCTTTATATATTTTTAAGCCATGCAATAAGTAAATTACATTGATTTTAATTTTTATAATGACCAAGCTATTTTAAGTTACGTCGCACTTGCATGCATACATGAATTATAGAAATTACCATTTTTTCATCTCTAGTCAGCTCAACTCATAAAAGTGAAGCAAATAGTATGTATGTACATACATGCGTACGTAAGTACATACAGTATTTCAGTATTTCCCCAGATTTATTTTCGGCCGAAGAGAAAATACAATGTACAACTAAACGGAAATACTCTGTTTTAATGTACCCCAAACATGGCTGACGCAATGATGATCTTTAATTATAAATTTTTTATACGTATTACTTTTCTTGGACTTTCTCCGGCTTTTAAGTTTTTATGGAATATAATCTCAACGTATAATTTAATGAAGAGATGTATTTAAATTCGCGAATATTTTAAATCCCGATAGCAATAACATTATAAGCATTAAGATAAGAGTAAGTAAAAATAAATTTTATTATTTTTGTAATTACCAAATTATTAAGTTGCTAAATTTAAATTTTCAAATTTATAGTGAATCATTGAATATTGGTTGAAGTTATAATCCGAGTATACAGTGCAGATGATGAAACCCTTGAATATTTATGTTCATCTACTTCTAGCATCTAAATTACACTAGTAATATCACAAGACAAACGACAAACAAACAAAATTCGATAAAATTTTCCTTATAAACATCTTTGATTAATTCCAGTCAAATCTGATTGGTAGATCCTCTTCTTAAAGATCTTTTGCCGTCCAATTCCACTAATATCCAGTTAGTCCGATTCGGTTCCGTGGCACCGTCGAAGGTCTCACTACTTCCTTTCGCGGGTTTTGCCAAGCCAGTTTCGGAACTTTTAGTCATCTCTATCGGTTTTACGCGATTATATGGTTGCCGTAGTATCATTAGTGCTATTTAAAAAATGAAATAACTGGACGTTCTGTATTTGGTTAAAGTTATAGCACGTACTGTAACATTGACAATGCAGATTTATGCAAGCAAAGTCTTTGATATTTGCCAGATACAGTACGTACGTACATGAATCCTTGTAATATAATAACAGCCAAAACAATTATAAATAAAGAATTTGGTTGCATTACTTTCAATTAAATAATTTCGTTTTACTCATTTTGCATTTAATATTTATTCGATATCTGATATACAAAAATCATGGAACAGGAACTACTCGAAAATGCTATTAATAGAGAGAAAATTAAGTCTTACGATTATAATGAATTCTCTACTCCTGAACAAATTGGTGAAGGTGGATTTGGAACTGTGTATAAATCAGAATGGAAGGATCGTAAATTAACTGTTGCTCTTAAAAAATTAAATATTAAACCTTTCGTCGAAAAGACTATTGTCAAAGAGGTATTAACTATATTCTTCACTTAATAATAGTGCAAGGATATTATAATCTAATAACATTATTAAACATCGTATATTCAGCTTAAGAATTTACAAAAAGTTTGCAAACACCCAAATATCATTGAATTTTACGGAGTTACTCGAGGTCAGTAAATGATATTTCTTTTCAGTAAATATGAAATCAATAATTCTAAAAAATCATTCATAATAGATCCTTCAGAAGGGTTCTACAATATTGTTTTGCAATTTGCAAATAATGGAGATTTACGCAAATATTTAAAAGAAAATTTTTCGAAACTTGAATGGACAGACAAATTTCGAATAGCCTATGAAATTTCAGAAGGCCTTGCTTTCTTACATAAAAATAATATTATTCATCGAGATCTCGTAAGTAAAAGTTTATTTAATTATGTACCAACAATTTATGTGTTTACTAATACTGTAAATCTTTTTTTTTATTATAGCATTCTAAAAATATTCTAATTCATGAAGAAAAAGTATTGATTGCAGACTTCGGCCTATCAAAAGATGAGACATCAACAAGTTTAAATTCTGGACATTATGGGTTAATAGCATATATTGATCCTCAATCTTTAGCGGATCCAAATTATAAACTTAAAAAGGAATCTGACATCTACAGTTTTGGGGTAGTTCTTTGGGAAATTTCAAGTGGCCGACCACCATTTCAATCATTTAGAAACAGTGGTATTCCTATTCAACAAATTCTCGGGGCCCTCTTCCTTCGCATTCTCGATGGAGAAAGAGAAGAACCTATTAAAGGGACACCAGACCAGTACATTCAACTTTACAGAAGGTGTTGGGATAATTGTCCAAACCAGCGCCCAAAACTAGGAGAAATTTCAAAATCACTTAAAAATCTTTTAGAAAAATATGGTATGCATTTTAAATTAAAAATTTTTATATCAGAAATAGAAAATAATTAATCGATTAAATTTTTAGATAATAAAAATGAAACAACTAGTAGTTCAAGTCAAGACTATGAAAATGCGATACAACCATCTACTAGTTCAAATGGTGAAATAACTAGTAATTTACGTCAAGGCGACGAAAATGAGATACAACCATCTACTAGTTCAAATAATGAAACAACTAGTAATCCAAGTCAAAACAACGAAAATACGATACAACCATTTCCCACAA